TAGTGAGTAATATAAATGTGCTTAAATAATCCAAGATAAAATGTAGTGTCCATTTGCATTTGGATCACATGTTGAGAGTGCACACCATTAGAAAAGCAACTTATCCAGCCAACCAACCAACCATCCCCACCTGTGCCCTATTCTTTCCTTGTGTTTCTTTAGAGCCTTTTCAGCTATATCCTGTGAAGCAAACTGCACGAAGGCCTCCCCCGTACTCCTCCCCTGGATGTCCACCGGCAATGTTATCCCATTTGGCACGATTTCCAACCCTTCAACCCAAGGACAGATAACCCCAGCAGGGGACATATTAAATCACATGCCCAATCACAGAGAGAACTTTCTCTAAAGAGAGAGAGATAGAAAACTTATGGAAAACTCTATACATCATCACACATACCAGTTCAATTTTTAACCAGTGACTGGCCATAAATACGGCTTACATTTACAGTATTTCGGGGTACAATAGAAATGAGAGGATAGAAGAAGAATATGGAAAAGGGAACTGTTTGGGACATCAGGCTAGTATCGGTGTGTTGATGAAGAGAGAACAAGATCCTGGTGGGTGACATGAGTTATGTTACTGTTTGCCCATTAATCTGTGTACAGTGTGAATAGGAAAAAAATGTTTTTAGAAAGATAAGTGCGTAAGGAGATGAGGAAAAAGACAAAATGACACTGGTAATACTGGTCCAATCAGTGATGAGTGAGACCAATTCCATTATTAGTAAAGCCATTTTAAGGAAACAAAGGGAGGAAATGGGCTTAAGATGAAAGCACTGCAAAGATGGTAACAATTGTTTGAGTAACCGATTCCTGCTCTTCGACTAAACATTAGGTTCTAAATATACCTTGCTCCCTTTTCTGGTGCCATTTTCTCACTTATGCAAAAACGTAGTTAAAGTTACTACTCGATCACGTCTTTATACACAGCAGGTAATGGTCACATTTCTCTGCGTATTGGCCTCTTTGAAAAAAAAAAAAAAATCAGATGGAAGTTATTAAAAGTCTAAAAAAAAAAAAGAAGAAGAAAGAAAACAAGAAAAGGAAGATGAGGAAAAATGGCTGTCCTCAACATTTAACTTAAGACGTTTTACTAATTTACCAGCGCGCTTGGCTTGTTCTTACCTGAGAAAAATTGTACTATCTCCTCTTTGCTGCAACCAAAAGGAAGCCCTCGAAGCCGGACCAGCCCATCTCCTGCTGTTTCTGGACAGTTTGGACCAGTGTGCTTCATAACCCAGTCCATCTCGACATTGTTGGATTTAAAAACTATAAAAAAATAAAAATCACAGGACACAGAGCTGTTAGCTGCCACAGCATCAAGTGGAGGCAGATGAACTTACTCATGAGCACACAGCAGTTGTACGCACCCTCGACATATCTGTGACCCATCGTTTCTCTGTCCTTCTTCACTGCAATCTTCAAGTCTTCCTCCGACTCCAACTCAACAAATGCCTCTCCACTTGGACGGCCCTCTCTTGTGTAGGTGAAGTGGATGCCCCCTCCATTAGTGATGACTTTGCAATCTACATTTAAAATGATTTGTCAGATAGGTTGATATTATTAACTGCACATGAATTTGCCTAAATATTGAATCATGTAAAATATATTGATACATACCTGAAAAAAATCTCTGTACTTCATCAACTGAGCAGGACCATGGTAGACCCCTGATGCGTACTACATATCCCTCATCAGCCATGACTGTTGTTGATCACTGCAGAAAAACAAACACACAACTACTGAGTACATTTTGCATTCAAATCACTACAAACTAAACAGGTAGGGATTGGCAGTAATGATACGACCTTCTGAAAGATCAAATACAAGTCTGATAAGAATATTATAAGCATCGCATGTTTCACATCAATTTAAACAGAAATTCCAGCAAACATGCAAGTGTAAAAAAATAACTGGCTCAGACTTCATGTTGACCGTATTAACCTGCCACATAGTGTAATTGTAAAAGGGTTACACATCCCCCCCATGGCTTTGAATGCAGCAGTAACCTTACATGTTCCCTGGTTCATGTGAATTACTTCCTAGCACCATCTAGAGGCGGAAACACGAAATTAAATACCGCGAAACAATCTCCACAGTGATGCATTTTCTAGTTTTTAGTAATAATCATATTATCCTCGATGAGATAATCTGAAGTAGTAGATAGAGGTGATTTTCTCTTCATCGCTCATTTAGCTAAAAAAAGACAATAAACAGCGTGCGCCACGACTCGTTCGCTGGTAGCTAATGTTAGCTGTGCAATGAATTGTAACTAGTTCCGTGACACTGATTTGCAGTATTTTGATATTTTAAGAGAAACAGTAGGTGTTTACGGGTTCCTGTGTGCCAAATACGAAAGAGGAAATTAGTAAATCCTTTACTTTGGACGAGGCTTGTGGCCTTGGCAAAGCAGAATACCGCACCCAGACACAAGAACAAAGCAGGCCTCTCACCCGGCGCCATGTTAACAATCAGCTAACGCGACCACTCGGTATCTAACGGTGTTTAAAAACGGAATGTTGTATTTATTCCGGTATCTGTAATGCGCTGATAAAGTTACTAAATCGAGCGTTTCGCGATCCGGAGCTGCATTTCTCAATTTACCTGATTCAAGCAAAGCTGCAACACGCTGGAGAATGTATGGCCAAACTTGCGTGCGTGATGAAGCTGAAATCTTGCTCTAGGTTGCCAGACCTAGTCTACGACGTCCCCCTTAAGGAGGAACAAGAAAACACACACTTATCAAACGCAGCAGTTCAAATTGCGGAACATTCAATTCAAACAACCATTCCAGATGGATAGATTTTACATAAATTAGAGTGAAGCTCAGAATCTTACCGAAAAACCAAGACTCTCAAGTGTGGCAAATATTCTGTGGTATCTAATTATTCAAAGAAAGTGTTGGTTTTAAACCAGCCTGGCAACCCCGGCTGAATAACCAATCGCCTCCGACTTGTCTGCGTCCACGCCCTAAAATGATGACGTTGCTGCCGAAGGCCCAGGCTGGCCCGGGCGGCATCTTCCGGCCTACATATCCATGTAACCCTGTTTACAGTGGTCGTAACGTAATTGTAGTGTTTATCTGCTTTTGTCAATGTGTGATAAATGTATCACAAGACACGTTAGAATACGAAGTCCAGTATTTGTTTTGCCAATCCAAGCATTAGGGGAAACAATAATTTTAACAATTGTATATGCTCATAATAAGTCAACTTAGGCAACAACAGAAATATAACTTTCGGTTGAGTGTGTAACTATAAACCAGAAAGAATGGATCTACTTGTGTGTTCTCTATACCAGCAGCTGGATTTGTGACATGGGGAAGAGATCGTTTTCAGATTTTGATAGGAGAAGTGATCAAGCATTGCTCACATGTTTAACGACAGGCTTGATCCATATGCTTGCAAGGGGACCGGAAAGCAACTACAGAAAGACATTTATAGCTTACATTAGGTCACCTGTTGTACATGCTGAACTCACTGTAGAGATTTAGTGAAAATAAATATTCATTTTGTGAGAAAAAAAAACATTGTGTGCTTGAGGGACTGTTCAGTAACCAATGGAAGAGCACTATGGACAGCTGTAGGAGTGACATCTGACAGAGATAGAAAGTTGCACAGTACAATAACACAAGTAATGAAATTACTGTCAATTTAATCTTATTCATCATGTGCACTTTTTATATAGCCCACTGTGCATATGCATCATAGTGGTGGGAAACATTGCATTTTTGCTGTACAACATTTTCTGAAGGCGTACAAACAACATGGAACTAACTCTAAAAAATCAACAGAAGTGTATTTAAAGCTTGACAATGCCAGGGTCAGTCACAACAATAAAATAATGTTAAGTCATAGTATTTAGTTAATACTAAATTTCACAATAATCAAACTTTCGATTCTGAGGTACATGATAATATAACACATTCTCACCTCCACACAAGCAAATTTCCAACTTTTAAAATGTGTAATTTTGTATTTAAGATATTTTTTCTTAGTAGCCAATACCCTATACTGGTTGGCCTGAAGTGCACAATGATAAAAAAAAATGAGCTTTAACTACATAATGATTATGTAGGTAATCAAACTTGTGTCTCTATGCTTTTTAACCCTCTGCAAAACAAAGCAGCACCCAATCTTTTTAGCGTGTGTTTTTAAACTAATACTTGTGACTGTCAAATACATTCTTTCGCAGAAAACAGTGATAATAATTACTCTTATAAACCATGAAAAAGGAATACAGTAGTCTAGATAGTTGGTTAAATGAGGCAGGTTTTTTAAACCTTAAAGCTGTGGCAAGCCTTAAAGTTCAAATAAAACATTGTTTGGGGTCCAGGTAGAGAATATTAAATTAGTTAGCATTAAAACACACTTAAACCCCAGTGGTTTGAAATTATGTTTTGTATTACTATGAATGAACTGTGAAAAGCCAATTATCTGCTCCTAAAGCCTACACATAAGACTGAGTTATCCTCTATAATGGGATTTAGTTTTATATTTGTGTGCATGCAGAAGAACTTTATTTTTTATGTGCTTACCTTTTTAGTTTAAATTGTCTTCTATCGTTGACCCTTAACATTTCCTTCTTCAAATTCATTTTTTAATGCCAGTTACAGAAAAATAAATAAATTACAGTGCATACATTTGTTCCAGGTTGACTTATAGTCTGGTATTCATTTTTGTACAAGATCACATCAAATGACTTATTACCATTTACAACACGTGCCAGTACACTCTCTTCAGTGTCTTCCTATTCATGTGGTTTTCCAATAAGAGTTTACATGAACTAGTAAAGCTAGCTACCAGTTAAGTTGGCCTACCATGTCATGTCTTGACGTTCGTTCTACAGCCTCGTGATATTGGTAAACCAAACATGACGTTGCGTTCTCATGTTTGACTGGCAGTATTGTCGACCAATGGAAAACAGAGCTCTTTCCCGCACAGCCAATAGGATTCTCCTGATATTCTACAGTGGGGCGGTCGTTCTGAGAAACAGTGCGTATCGGGTTAGGTTGTTAGAAAGTTAATGGCTGGGGGAAAGAGATCCTCCTCAACCCTCGCTTCGGGAGAGTTTCTGGATTCCCTGAAGTAAAATAACGCGAATATCCCGAAAGAAAGAGCCTGGACGGACGTTAAGTCAACAACTAGCTCGGGAACACACGCATCGTGAACATAAGTATGCAGGATGCAGTAGCCGGGACGGCAATGCTGACGGACGGCTTCGAGGACGAGATTGACTCGGTGACTCCTCGCTCCCCAGTGGCAGGGATGGGGGTAGGAGCGACACCAGGAGGAGTCGGACTGGGGGGCATTGGGATTGGTGTAGGTGGAAAGAAAGTACGTTTGTACGGCGAACCAGGCGGGCCTGCTGCAGAAAGACTGGATTTCAAACTAGCGGCTGCGGCCGTCCTCTCATCGGGTCCAGGATCCGGCAGCGACGAGGACGAGGTTTCAGAGGTAGCTACGCTAAGCTAAGCTAGTTAGCTAAGCCTAACCAGAGAGCTAGGCAACATTCCTCTTGTAGCACGACCTGTTAGCTAAAGAATTAGCTCGCAGTTGGCAGCCACCCCCTCCCAGGCCGCCTAAATTACGTAAAAAAAAAAAAGCCAGCACTTTAACCCGATAACACGCCGTGCTGGTTCAGGTGGTGACGGGCTGTTGTTGGTGTCGATAAGGTTTGGTGAGACACGGGCAAGTTGTTCACGCTAAGCGGGTGAAATGTTTTATTTATGCAGCGCAGGCTTCGACTCGGGCCTAGCTCGGGTGGAAGCTGAAGACGGCCTCAGTCGGTGCTGTCGTCTCTCGCAGACACCCATCACAAGTTTGCAGCTCTCCCAGCAGCTCTCCACGCAGCAAATGGAAGATGCCCGCTGAACCCACGGACGCACACGGACAGATTTACTATCTGCCATTTCGCAGTTGTGGTGCAATTACGTCACTTTTCCCAAAATCATGTAAATTAACTCGGATTGACCCCCCGATGCTAACTTTTGAAACATTCAGATTAGTCTTTTCCTCGCGGGATTACTTGAATTTTCGACAGTCAGTGTTGACAAATACACCAGTGGGGGTTATTTTCATCCTTCTGAGGCTCTTTTTAGATTAGACACCACGACTGTGTCAACTTGATTTGCCTTGTCACTACTGAGAGCAGCTATAGTTCATGTTCAGATGTCCAACTTTCCATGTGTTGGCATTCGTATACACGGACTGGTGTGATACCGTTCACTCCTCACCTAAAGCATACATTTGACATGTATTATATTGGATGGATGCGTAGAGTAAACACGGTAGTGTGTGGAGTACACATTACCTCTTAAGATGTGACAAATCCACCTCAATCGGGATTTTGACTGAACACCAGACCAAACCTTTTTTGTCCCGTGTTTGGTCTGGAACTTATTTGCACAAACATATCAAAGGTCTGAGTTTAATGTAGCTTGCATGTCCACGGTACTGTTATCTCTTACAGTTTTGTTTAAAAATGATGTTGCAGTATTTTCTGTAAGGCAACTCTCTGAACAAGGACACATGGGTGTGGAGAAAATTGGCACTACTGAGTAATACCTGTTGATCTATCTCTATGTAACTAAACTAATAACTGACCAAAGGGCTAATGGTCTGAATCACACTACAGCGGTGAGAGCGAGGAAAGTATGGATGTGTCAGCTGATTCAAATGTCAACATAGTTTGTCCATTTGCGTCTGAGCATCAGCTGGGTAGCAGCAGAGGAGGAAAAGCTCATGTTTGACAACTACATCTCTGGCAGTTTATTGAATCATGTTGCCAATGTGTCGTGTTTTTTCACTCACCGAGCCTACCGTGCAAGGCTGAAATGGAGAGTTTGTTGTGGTGTTTTACTCCGATGCAGAACTCGCTGCTCTGGGCAGTAGCTAAAATCTGAGCCCCAGGATTAAGCAGATGCCATTCTAGGCCTTTACAGCTCTCTGGATACCAACACCCTGGGAACTGTAGTTCATTAATAGTGAAGACTGATGTCCATTGTTGATAATAAAGGCCACCGTAGAACTACATTCCCCATAGGTTGTTTTGCTCTGTTCCTATCGTATAGCTGAATACCTCCACATTGCTGACTCTCCTGACCAGGCCCTGACAGCCTGCTGCAGGTTATGGATGGACATAGACAGAAATAATTATTTTCTCTGACTTAGGTTGTTGCAAACCACTGAACTACATTAATTTAACTGGAATCTAAAACTATTCAAAATCTCAACCTTTTCATTGACTGATAGTTCAAATTAGTTGATTTTTCTTAGGACAATGTGAGGTTTATTACATTTTAAAAACATCCCTTTACTGAGTGAATCACTTACTTTTTGCATCAAAACGTGTATATAGGGTCAATCTACCTAGGTGTCAATAGGATGCCCCTCTGTATGAAAATCAACACCCTTTTTTTCAAAAACAATGTTTAACCTGATGTCAGTGGTCTGGTTAGTGTCATTACTCTTTAGTACAGTTAAAATGAGCTTCTCTTCAGACCATTACACATCCTGAGCTTTGAAGTTTATTTCACCACTGTACCAAAGTATGTCCGCTGCTACCTGTGCTATTTTACAACTAGAAAGTTAATGTGAAAATATACCATCTACAACATAAACCCTGCACACCATTAAAAAGCGTAACATTATAATTAATCCTGTTGTTTCTCTGAAATGAATTTAATGCAATCGAGGCTAGTGAGTTAGTTGATGTTAATCAAAGTTTTTGGCTTGTGTATTCATTGCTAACACCGCTAGGTTTAATATATAGAGGAGAAAAACAGTCCCTACATGGAAAACAAGTACATTGTCTCTTCTGTAACGTATACACATGGAATACTTTCATGGTGAAGGTATTGATTTGCTCAAGTAACTTTCTCCGATAATTGACAGTTGAAGTAAATGATACTTAGTTTGTTCTCATTAAAGCCTCTGTTTTTTTTTTGTTTTTTTTACTCACTTGGGTTTTTCTTTGAATGTTAACATGTTTGTAAATCAGAATGAAATGCAGGATAGTCAACAGGGCCAGAGCTCAGGTATGAAAGTGTGGTGCTGTACTTGGGCAGCTGACTCTCAGCTGAATCCCTCCATGTGTGCATGGTTTTAATTCCCTGCCATAGCACTTCCAGTACTTTGACTTTCTTATCCCTGTACTCCTTTTTGCTCTCGCTCTTGAAAGCAAATGAAAATAAACAAGGGCAGCATGCCTGATCTTTTAATAGGGGATGCAATATTGTGCTCAGGATCACTTTGTTGCATAATAATGCAAGGAGTGATTTAAATAAAAAGCAACATATATCAATTATTTTTACACTTAGTCTCGTAAGTTACATATTTGTATTGTATTACTGTCAAGATGCCTGTAACAATTCCTTTACCCTAATTTTTACCCTTATCTCTTCCAGGTGGAGTCATTCATATTGGACCAGGAGGACCTGGATAACCCCATCATGAAGACAGCGTCAGAGTTGCTTTTATCCAGCGCCACAGATGGAGTAGATTTGAGGACTGTTGATCCAGAGACACAGGCCCGACTCGAAGCTCTACTGGAAGCTGCAGGTACGACTACTTCATCTGTGTCCTTCATTTAGCTTAAAACCTCACACAGTTCACTTGTCTTTGACCAGTACTTCATTGGGCCACACCTACCATCATGCAAGCAGATATAGTCTGTGTTTCAACGTACATTAACTCTGAAAAAGTAAAACCATTTATCTGCCTGAGCTTTCCCCCGCCTCCTTTTAAATCCTAACAGAAGTTGAGCTCTTTAACACTAAGGCTGGGAAAAAAAGAGGACCTTCTGGTTCTGCAAGTGTTGTATCAGCACATTTTTTGAAAGTGATTGCAGTAAATTAGTTTGATTACAACTGGTAATCTCAGAGGTGTAAGAAGGTCTGTGTAGATTAATTCATTAGGGTGGTGTGTCCTGGCCTCGTTTGGGCTTATGAACATTACCAGGCAGATTAACGCTGCAACCTGCTTGAGCCTCCACAGCATGCACAGAGCCTGTGTTGAACGGCTAATGGCTAATCTCATTCTATTCCCCTTTCTCCCTGGCTTAATCTAAACAGAAAAGATGGCAACTTAAATTATCTGTTTGCAAAAGATCTATTGCAGCTTGCATATGGAGGAGTAGGAGGCAAGACATAAAGGAAACAGAGTCAGATGCTGTCATAACAGTTCTCGACTTTATATACATTCTATTTGAGTTTGACAAATTCTCAAAACAGACAAAAAAGCTGATAGGATATACTGCTGCACTGAAAACATAGCTCATCTCGGCCCCAACTTCACGCAGAAAATTATACTACAGATGGTCTGAAGGTAAAACTCCTGCCGAAGTCGGAGTGAATCATTTGGCAGTTTGCGTTCAAACATGCAGCTCATCTCGAACACTTTAGGAAGGATTCAGAAGCTCTGTGCAAGTGTGAAAGCACCATATGATGAATTCTCCTTGATGTTATGTTGGTTATATAGTCCACTAAAAAGACTAAATGTTTTTGCCAACCTTCTAGCAATAAAAATAATTAACAAAAAAAGAAACCTAAACCCTTACTTTGTCTTCCTGTTTACTTAGGACTTGAGTTTAGTCTTTTTCCTCTAGGAGATGAAGCGAGTCTATCCAACTCTTCATGCTCTCAAATTGATCACAGTTCACAGATATGTTGAAATGTTTTTTTTACAGCATATTAGAGAAAAACATTTAAGAATAGGTTCAATGTTTGCTATATTTACTTAATCATTTCTAGATATAGTCTTTGAATTGGAATTTGAAGAGTTGATCTATCCCCAGTGTTGATGTATTTCTGTGTTAGGTGGGTAAGTGTCACAAAATAGAGAGTAAACATCAGATCAGATTTGGTGTCAGGAGGTACTACATACAAAAGACTGGCAGTGGTTGTGATCTGGTTAAAACTATGACAGTGATATTCCTTATTCTGTAAACGATGCCACTAAAAATGTTCACCTCTGTTTGGTTAGTATTTGTCTTTTGTATTAACCGCTAGCATTAAAGCTTAACTGTAAATGCCAAACAAACTGTAACACAACAAATTCATTTTGGCTTGCCCCACTTTTGGGTCTGTCACATACACTACGCAAATTTTAGATCTGGATGATAAATTAACTTAAAAAAAAAAAAAAGCTTGTAATAGTTTTGTCAAATGTGTAAAATCAGTAATGTGTTTATTCCTGAGGTCATGCTTCAATGAGGTGTTGAACTGGACGACTTATTATTGGGAGAACAGGTGAAATGTGCGAGAAAATGCACTTTTTCTAACAAGTAGTGAACAGGGCCGTTGTTCTATCACATAGTGTTTTCACTCCTCAAAAATTCCCGATACTGTAATGAGGAGCTGCTTGTGCGAACGCAAACGTGAATTTTTCTTAACGTCAGGATTTTTTTAGGAGTGCATATGTGTAAACTGCTACAGTGTGAGCCCCCCCTAACCCCCCCCACACACACACACACGTACATATTTCCCTCTGCATTGCAAGTGTCGGTAGGCTGTGCATTTTCAGAAAAGGAATAGGAGAAGTCTGGCAGCATCAGCATCAAGGTTTGGCCCACATCCAGGGGAGTTTTATGCTGATTGACAATCTCTTCTTAGTCCAATGACCCCTTAACACAAAACAAAAACAAACATTATTATTGTAACTGACTTTCTGTGTCATTTAAACACCTAAATGGTACAAAGAAAGCCTTGGAGAGTATCATTGGATATAAACAAAACTCTTTAAAATAATTATCCCAAAGGGTACTTTCAGCGTTAGACCCCTGACTTTTCTTTTTTTGCATTCCCTGTTGTTCTGTTGTGAAAATAGATTCATGTTGGCTTGCTGTCATGATGCATGTTACTTTTAGAAAGGTAAATCTTTTTCAATCACTTTAAAAAATTAGATTAAGTGAAGTTTTAATCCCTGCATTTAGTCAGTTGTTGTCAAAGGTTGAGCCTCTATCAAACTACTTTTTCACCCTAATTTAGCCTGCATAAATCTCAGGCTGATATTATGCCCAGCCTTACCATATAATTATGCAGGTCACCTGAATTTTCACTGCTGGTTAGAGTTAGATAGGGTTAGAAGATATTTGGCTTTAAAATCTAAAAACTGTGTCATCTTGTGGTCAACATTGTGCCATTGACCTGTTTACTTAGTAAAATGACTTGAGCGTCACTGTTTGTTTTTAAGGAGATGTGTTTTCTGCACACTATCAAAACAGAAGGTAAACAGGCTTTTCAACCATTTCCTGTAAACCATTTGTATCAGTGTTTAACGTTCCTTAAAATATAGTGTATAAGACGCACTTCTAATCCTTTTTTTTTTTTTTGTTAAGTTGGCTGTGTCTTATACACCAGTGCGACCAATATACCAGTTTAAAATGATGACACACGGTCCGTCATTACAGTGGATGCAGCCGCCACCATCACACACTGCACACGACCCGACTCGAATTGAAAGTTCATCCTCATATATTGTGTATTGAAAGCTGATTGCAAGCTGTGATGGGAAACAAAGCAACACCAACCAGTCTAGTGGCTTTTTAACATCTTTACACCCTCACAAGGTCATAATCATGTATTTTGTTAAACAGTGGTATATTGTTCCGTGAATACAACTTGTTGAGTCTTTTTTTGATTGATAGTCCAATATTGATTGATAGTCCAATATTAAAGTTAAAGAGTTAAAGAGTGACCAGTGACTCCACTGGTCACAGGGAGCTCACAAACTTTCACTGCAGGCTGAGAGCTCAACTACCGTACTGTTGCTAGTAGGAGTGCAAACTCCCCAAACAAAACAAAAAACAGAACTAAAAGAGCGACACAGCTGCACAGAAAAGGCATGTTGTAGACTTCGCTGAACACGATATAAATCGTCACGCAGGAAGACAGTTTCAACTTTTTTTCTCTTTGAGACCTTCAAAAACAGACTGCGTCTTATATACTGGTGCGACTTATATTCCTATTTTACGGTAACTACACTGATTATGTTAAAGAAACTGTAACTACAGCCTGGCCACATTGCTACATCTTATCTAAAATGCAACAAGTTCTCTCTAAAAGAGTAGAGCGTTTGTAAACATGTAAGAAAAACACCAGCATGGCTAGCTGTGGTGCTGGTCGTCACTTAGCTTCAATATACTTTTCTTCAAAGTAAATTATTCATAAGGGGGAAATAAACATTTATGTCAAGGATCATCCATGTGAGGAATGCACAGAATACTGAGGCTGAAAATTAAGGTAGATAAACCTAATAACAGATGTGATTGATTTATAGATAAATTGTTTTATGTTTTGCAAAATAGTCACATTTCATTTTTCAATTTATTTTTCCTCATTTGTCAGAAGAGCCACTGAGTGAACAGGCTGCAAAGTGATGCTAGTATGAACAATATTAAACTGCCATAGAAAAAAGTTTTAAAAAAGCATCTAATTCCTTATTTTTCCTCTTGCAGCTTTCTTAATATGAACCTAAATATTAGCTGAAATGTCAATGAAGATGTCAAATGAATGTGACGCCCTGCGAAGACAACTACTGCCTACATCTAGTTGTACACATTAACTATAGTACTCTTTATAAACATTTAGTGATATAAAGGGGATATATTTATACTCTCCTCACACTTTATTTGACCACAACAATTGAGAAGCTCTTGTTGTCTGTGCAAACATGTCAGAGTTTTGGGGGGAGCAGTGTAGGAGAGTGTGCTTATGGGTAAACACTCTATGCATCCCTATACTACTGGACCTCTGGGCAGTGCTGTAATAAGGCAAGATGTGCTCACTCAGGGGATAAGAAGATTTGTGAGGGCAGAAAAGCCACCATTAAAATCTGTTGTTAGTTTGCCATTCAGGACCATATTAAACATGTGCATTTTTACTTTCTTGTTGGCTTGCTAGCCCTTTGCTACATCAGAAAGTTAGTTTCTAGATTTACAACTTAAATAAATGAACATTTGTCCATGGAAAATAACAGACAACAGCTGCCTTTGTTCAGAAATTCTAAGAGGTTTAATGTTGACTCCCTTGCAGTTTTGCATTGGCTGTGCTCAAAAAGACACTGACTGAAATTTAAATTGGTATCTTGGATAAAAATGTTTATGCAGATTGAATCATGTGCCGGTGGTACTGTGGGTGTGGGCGGCTGAATGGCTCGCCAGTAACTTGTTTTAGTTGAAAGACAACAAAAATATCTTGTAGTTCTTCACGTCAAAGTTTTGACCTCAGTGAGAGCTCAATGTCCAAGAGAGTTAACCTAAATGGGCGAGTTAATTTCTTCGGTGTGATTCAGAGCTGTGGTAACGGTTCATTTTTTGGCCAGTTTGGCTAAGGCCCTGTAGAAGTAGGTTAGAAAAAAACATCACCCTCAGGTGGTAATTTTGTTTTCATCTGAAGTATTTACAGTTTTTAGACCTCCAAAGTATGTTCAGCCTGTTTTGTTTCTGTAGGCTCTTTATTCTCTGAGAGAAACATTATACAGTAAAACATTAATGATCTACTTCCTCGACCTCTTGCTTCCCTCCACCTTGGGAACCATTGCGAAATCCTTGTCTGAGATTCTTGCTAAGTTTAGCTCAAGTCACAGGCCTTGTGGTAAAAAACCCTGCAGGACCACAAACACTGAAGCTCACTTCTGTCTGGCTAATGGCTGCAGTGAGGCTGAGGCCAAAGAGTTCAAATAAAAGACTGGCTGTCTTTGGCTCTTTCACAAATATCCCTATGCTACCACACTCGACACTTTCATGGGTTGATTAGTCAAGAAATGCTCCTTTCTCTGTCTTCTGAAGAGGTCTTTCAATGTAGGTCAATAGCAAAAGCTGCTTTTTTTCCTCCTGCTTGCTCTTCTTTTGTTTCCCCTTTTTGGCATCTCCTCTTTCATGAAAATAAAAAAAATATATACACAAACTTTTTTTTTCTCTTATGGCATTTTGTTTTTCACCTATCTGTGCTTCTCTCTCTTGCTGACCACTGTTTCAAGTTTTTGTTTCTCTCACATTCACTGCCTCTTACCCATCTATAATTCCCACAGAATAAGACCCTTTCCTCTTTTACCATTACCAACCTGAACTGATCTACTAGCTACTAGGTCTACTAGCCTAAGAACTAATGTACACCCATCACGGCATCTCCTGTGAGGCTGGTCACAGATCTGTTCTTACCTGGCCATATTATCAGCAAACCAAGGATGAACTAAGAATCATAGATGGTGTATTGAAAGTAGTGGAAACTATGTTAAGCCATATTAACCAATGCTTGTGTGTGTTTTCTGTGTGTGTGTGTGTGTGTTTCCCTCCCCCCTCTTTGTGTATGCTGCTACTAACCCTGGATTGGATTGGCTGGACTGGACTTGCTTCTTCAACTGGTCTGGTCTGGTGTGGTTGTGCTCCTCTGTGGTTTGCCTTGCACTATGCACCTCTGCCCTTTTGGTGTTCGGCAGGCATCGGTAAACTGTCCACTGCCGATGGTAAAGCTTTTGCAGACCCCGAGGTGCTACGAAGACTGACGTCATCGGTGAGTTGTGCCCTGGACGAAGCCGCTGCAGCCCTGACCCGCATGAGAGCTGAAAACACACTCAACGCTGGCCAAGCGGACAAGTATGTATCTCGTCCATTATGACAGTCATATATCAGCTTAGCCTCTTGATATAATCAATCTCAGTTATACATACAGTATGCTAGCCAGCTTGTGAGCTTGCTCATAGGAAATTATTGTAAGGCGCATTTGTGTTGACCTGTCACAGTCGCAGTAATTGTAGCAGTCTGGTTATTTTCAGCCGTAGTTTAGCAGAGGCGTGCTCAGATGGAGATGTCAACGCTGTGCGCAAACTGCTGGATGAGGGACGGAGCGTAAACGAACACACGGAGGAAGGGGAGAGCCTGCTTTGCCTCGCCTGCTCGGCTGGCTACTATGAACTTGCACAGGTGTGAAGGAAATATGGATTATAATTTTTTTTATTTTTCAAATAATGATGAGAAATGTTTAATATCTAAACACTGATGCAAATATTCTGAGTGTTGTGGGAGGTTTTTTATCATTTATGCCAAGACTCAATGTTTGTTTTGAATTATTGAAAATGTTCAGGTTTTGTTGGCTATGCATGCCAATGTGGAGGACCGGGGAATCAAGGGAGACATAACACCACTCATGGCTGCTGCCAGCGGAGGTTATGTGGACATTGTCAAACTGCTTCTGGTCCATGGAGCAGATGTTAACGCACAATCCTCCACAGGTAATGCCCCTCATGGTTTATCCACAGTTATCACTTCACACTCTGTGTTTTGCAGTCAGATAAATATTTCTTGTGTCTTCTAGGAAACACAGCTCTGACGTACGCATGTGCCGGTGGCTTTGTGGATGTGGTTAAAGTGCTACTAAAAGAGGGTGCTAACATTGAGGACCACAATGAGAACGGACACACGCCTCTAATGGAAGCAGCCAGTGCAGGCCATGTGGAGGTGGCTAGGGTACTTTTGGAGTATGGCGCAGGAATCAACACACACTCCAATGAGTTTAAGGAGAGCGCTCTCACTCTCGCCTGCTACAAAGGTCAGAATTCAAAAAAAGTCCTCGCCTTGTTGATTACCTTATGTAGATTATCTTTTATAGACATACTCCTCTCTTTGTTTACATTGATTAAAGGCCCAGGGAATTGATCTTTCTTTGACTCCTGCAGGTCACCTGGATATGGTGCGATTTCTGTTGGAAGCCGGGGCAGACCAGGAACATAAAACAGATGAGATGCACACAGCGCTGATGGAGGCCTGCATGGTGAGCATCTGACCCAAATCTAAACATTTTCTTGTCAGGATCAGTTCTCAGTGCCATTTTCATTAGCTTGATTTTTTAAAACAAATAATACAATAGTTTGAAAAAAACAAGTTTAAGAAAACATCTTGTAATCTTTCCACAGTCATGTGATCATTTACCTGAGAGAGAATAAAACAGGCTTTTGTTTTTTTTTTGTTTAGTTTAGTGTCTTTATTGCTTTTTTTTATTTGGTACCCTCTATTCACTATTATCAGTTAAAAGAAAAAATAGATTTAACTACATAAATAATATGTTGAGTAATTAAAAGCTATGAGGAATTGTATAGTAATGAAGTTATTAGCACCCTGTTTGGAAAGTTATTTGTGAAGAACCAACATATTCATTCAGGTGCTTATCTCTACATTCTCTGTGTGTCTCGCTGTCCCAGGACGGCCATGTGGAGGTGGCACGGCTGCTGTTGGACAGCGGCGCGCAGGTCAACATGCCAGCTGATTCCTTCGAGTCACCCCTTACCCTTGCGGCCTGTGGAGGACACGTGGAGCTGGCGGCCTTGCTCATAGAGAGAGGAGCCAACTTGGAGGAGGTGTGTAGAGAAAAAAAAAAAAAAAAAGACAGCTAAATACAAACATGAGAGAACATAGAATTCAGGAGAGGATGCAGATCCCTGTTTTCTTCCTAGTGTTGAGCCTATAAATATGAATTATGTGGCTGTAAATTCATTTTTAGTTTAGTACTGCAGTGCCCAATAGCTTGCATCTCCTCAACAGTCATAGAGCCGTGCTGCTGTTCACATACTTTGAATTAAATACTATAGCCTACAAATAAACATATTTGTAGGCTATAGGAGATAGAAGTTTTAACTTGGATAAAAACATGCTTTCATAACTACTTTTTATTGGAGGTGTATTTGACATTTATGAAACAAACTTGTCAAGCTCTTCATTTTGAAATTGCAACATAAAGCAAGCAAGAACAATAAAAGTGATTTGCTCAAATTTCATGGCTTTTATTTAAGCCTTAAAAAAGAAAAACCTACTCAGCTTTCAGTAACGACGCAGACTTGATAATAGGTTATCAGGCAAAATGGTGTTTTTGTGGTTTAGCTCTAATACAGCACATTTCATCTTAAGATATTGACAATGGCATCTACCAGTCAATGTTTCATTTTCCATCCACAGTGAGGGTACAGAGACACATAAGACAATCCAAACTTTACACAGTGAGTCAAAGCCCTCATGTTTTCTTTTCGCTAATGTTTCTGTTTGTGTCCAGGTCAATGATGAGGGCTACACCCCTCTGATGGAAGCAGCTAGAGAAGGCCATGAGGAGATGGTAGCACTACTCCTTGCTCAAGGTAAGAAAGCTTGGCTCCTTCATCTGGGGAACGGAAACTTGATTTGAAATGACATTTCAGTGACTAGCGCTGCCTTGTTTGGATTTGCTTGGCCATGATCATTCCTCTGCCTTGGTCTTTTTTTTGTTTAGCAGAAATAACATAGCAGTCACTGATCACAAACCTTTCTTGTTCTCTTCTCAAGGTGCTAACATCAATGCCCAGACAGAGGAGACACAGGAGACGGCTCTGACTCTAGCATGCTGCGGGGGCTTCCTGGAAGTGGCAGACTTTCTCATCAAGGCAGGCGCTGATATCGAGCTGGGATGCTCTACACCTCTAATGGAGGCTGCACAGGAGGGCCATCTGGAGTTGGTCAAATACCTACTGGCTGCAGGTGAGCCAGAGGGAAATACACTCAGGAGCTGCAAGTCTAAGAGGTCTTAATTTTACCTTTGTGCTTACATGCCGAATCGCTTTGTTTTGTTATTCAGGGGCAAATGTTCATGCCACCACGGCAACGGGAGACACTGCATTGACGTATGCATGTGAAAATGGACACACTGATGTTGCGGATGTGCTGCTGCAGGCTGGAGCCAACTTGGTACTTGAAATCCTCTTTGCCATTTATGATTGGTTGTTTTATAAAGATAAAGATAAAACCAAACCTATAACAGTTGTATATGAAAAAGTGTATCTTTCCAGTGCAAATGTTCATCATTTCTATGAACACATAATTGCCACACAATTTCTGGCAGTAGCTTGTAGAAACAAAGCAGCAATTTATTGTTGAGTCAGTTTTTTTTTTTTTTTTTACTGCACTAGTATGAACTAAGACACGTTTACCTTTATGTTCCAGGAACACGAGTCTGAAGGAGGGCGGACGCCCTTAATGAAAGCAGCAAGGGCGGGACATCTCTGTACTGTACAGTTTCTAATCAGCAAAGGTTGGTTGTTTACTTGTTCATGTTATCAAGTAAGAGAGAAATGTTATTTCCTTTGCCTAAAACCACAGAATGTTTTTTAAAATTTTACTGATGCATAGCATAAGCATCACTTATATATTACAGGTAAATAGATACTAATAATTATATAGGAATCAAAAGCTGAAAAAATGATAATTTGAAAATGAGGATTTATGGATTTCAACTATTTGAATAGAAGATGCTTCATCCTTTCGGGGTATCCACTCTTGCTAATCAATAAAATACTTTCCTTGACTTACTTTCTCGATGGATTATTTACAGTTTATCCCATATCATTTTTTGTTGGTGGCCTGAGAAGTCTGTCTGTTCAAATTTTATATTTGAATGAGTCCTCATTTTTACATTTCTTCTTCTTTTGTCTAGGTGCTAATGTGAACAGAGCTACTGCCAACAATGATCACACAGTGGTGTCTTTGGCCTGTGCCGGGGGACATCTTGCTGTGGTGGAGCTGCTGCTGGCACACGGGGCTGATCCCACACACAGACTCAAAGTAAAACACACACTCTCTCACACTCACACTCTGTTTAGACAAGACCACTTGAATGTCTATCTGTGTGAATTAATACAACTTGATTGAAACCATGTTTGTTTTGTCTTTGTAGGATGGGTCCACCATGTTGATAGAAGCTGCTAAGGGGGGCCACACCAATGTGGTTTCCTACCTGTTGGACTATCCCAACAACATCCTGTCTGTCCCAGCCCCTGACCTCTCCCAGCTCACACCCCCCTCGCAAGATGCCTCTCAGGTCACTACATATGTAAACTTAATGTTTTCTTAATGTTCTGCCGAGAACATATCTGTTTTTGAGTCTAATAATTGTATTTGATTACTTAAAGCTAACATGTTCCCTGCCGACACAGGTTCCTCGTGTCCCATTCCAAGCTCTCGCCATGGTAGTGCCCCCTCAGGAGCCCGACCGAGCCCCATCAAACATCGCCACACCCCCACCCATCTCCAGCAAAGGTATCCAGTGCTTCAAGTTCTATCAACTAGTGAGATGAATCCCCAAAGTAAGTTGCAGACTTAACTCAACTTTCTCTTTCGTTAACCAGGCGTGTCCAAACAAAGACAGGCAGCCCTTCAGCCCGGTGTCCCAAACTCAGTCGGTCGGGGGCCGGAAGCAGAGCCTCTGCCGCCCTTCCACTTGTGCCAGCCTCTAGAGTGCATTGTGGAGGAGACGGAGGGAAAGCTGAACGAGCTGGGACAAAGAATTAGCGCTATCGAGAAGGCTCAGCTTCAGTCGCTAGAGCTCATTCAGGGGGAGCCGCTCACCAAAGACAAGATTGAGGAGCTAAAGAAGAGCCGAGAGGAGCAGGTACAATCCGTCATCCACTTACATCGTGTTTATATTTTTTGTATGTTTTTATTTTAAATGAGGGAAAATGAGCATAAAGGGAACTAAGCTCAATAAGCAAATTCATTCTACGGCTTTTGCTGCACTGTATCAGTAGTAAGTCAACAAGGATGTGGCTGTTGTCCACCTAGGTGCAGAAGAAAAAGAAAATCTTGAAGGAGCTGCAGAAAGTGGAGCGCCAGCTGCAGCTGAAAACACAGCAACAGTTCACCAAAGAGTACATGGAGGCGAAGGGTTTAAAGGAGGAGCAGGAGGCCGGACAAAGCCAGGGTCCTGGTCCGGGTCCTGGAAGTACAGCATGTGCTCCAGGACCCCTTCCTGCTGCACCAGGTGCCCTGGTACACACCGGCTCTGACACGGATGAGGAGGCAAATAAAGATGGCGAGCTGGACGAGCAGCAGGGGGAGGACGGGGATGAGGTCAGTAGTTTTTCGGTTCTGTATTTCAATGTTATAGTTCTGATTTCTCTGACTATACTTACTAACTTGGAACCCTTTATTATTTTCTTTCTTACAATCTTTAGGAAGAGGACGACGATGATGATGAAGAGGAAGGTTCTGAGGAAGAGGTAGATGGAGAGGAAGACAATTACCCCAAGCTTCCTCAGGTTGGCACAATCCTCTACAGAGATCAGCCGCCACAGCAGCCTCCTCTGCCTCCTTCACCACAGGCACAACCCCAGCCTCCTCCCCCACCTCTTCAGGCTGCCTTCGTCCCCATCCAGCCCCTTCCAGACTACAACCCCGCAGACTACCCAGGAAGCACCAGCCCGGAGCTGCAGAGGGTACTGGTAGGGCAGCAGATGCTGGGCCAACAGCAGCAGGGTCAACAGCTAGCTGGTTTAGGCCCAGGAATGATACCTCAGCAGGCTCCAGATGGGCTCATGGTAGCTACACCCGCACAGACGCTCACAGACACGCTGGACGACATCATGGCAGGCGAGTGTTATATTTGAGATTGTCGTAGACTCTCTAGATTTAATTATCTCCTAACTCCTTAATCAGCGTGGTAATTTAACTTTTTTTTTATTTTGTCTGTTGCAGCTGTGAGCAGCCGTGTACCCATGCTGAACACTACAACCTCACCCACACCCCTCTCCCAGCCACCCACACAGATGCCTGCAAACATCGCCTCACCCCCTTCGGTTCTGCCCCTTTACCCCTCGGTCGACATAGACGCACATGTAAGACACAATTCAAAATTGACATACTAGGGATTTTAACATTTTGTGATTTATGCAGAATGCCCTCGCCCCTGTTTAATGAAGTTGTTTTCCCCACAGACGGAGAGTAACCATGACACAGCGCTAACGCTGGCATGTGCAGGAGGACACGAGGAGCTGGTGTCTGTCCTTATTGCACGGGGAGCTAACATTGAGCACCGGGACAAAAAAGGTAAAGAAATAATCATTGTATATATCATCTCATAAGCAGAATTCATTGGATTTGGCTTGCTTAGTAAAGTAAGGAATGGGTATATACAATATTGGTTTAATTTTATCTTATTAGAAAATGTTGTAATATATATTGAAAAACTTGAAAACCACTCCTACTTCCTTTGCAGGTTTTACACCTCTGATCCTGGCTGCCACCGCTGGTCATGTCGGAGTGGTAGAAGTTCTCCTGGACAAAGGGGGAGACATTGAGGCTCAGTCAGAGAGAACCAAAGACACGCCCCTGTCCCTGGCCTGCTCTGGGGGACGCCAGGAGGTAAACACATTGGTTATGTCCTGTTTGACCTAACTGTCTGCATCCTTCAGAGTGTGCATTTAAATACAGCTAATAAATACGTCCTCCTTTCCCTGTCCAATGAAAGATCCATCCTTTGCGTTCTTTGTGGACCAAAAAATCCCAAGATTCATTGAGGGTGCATTTTTTGCTTTTTTAAAAATAAATAGAGAGAAAAAAGTCAGAAGTCTAATCCACAATCAAGATATGCATAACTTTGTTAATTACAAAAGTTAGTTTTAGCACATTTGAAGGATTTCTTGAAGTTTGTTATTTTATTCATGATGATTAAGAGCAGTGGTCTGGTCTTCATTTATCCATAGTTTTGGGTTTAGGAGTTTGGCCATATAATCAGGGTGCTTATTAACCAAAGGGTGTAAGTGCTGGTGATGCCAATGGAGAATCCTCTGTAGACCAGACAGTGTCATTTCAGTTTGGCCTGAGCAGTCTATGCAGACTTTGAGAAGGCTGGGTCTGAGACAGTGAAGGGCTTTGACTTTACCTTAACTAAAGTTATATTCCTCTTTCACCTATTCAGAGCTTTAACGTTGTTGTATAACTGTCCCTTGGATTTTTCAGGTGGTTGAGCTGCTGCTGCTTCGGGGAGCCAACAAGGAACATCGTAATGTTTCCGACTATACGCCTCTCAGCCTGGCTGCTTCTGGGGGTTACGTCAATATCATCAAGATACTCCTCAATGCTGGAGCTGAAATTAACTCCAGGTGGGGGAATAGAACTAAAATATTCAGTTTTGACTTTTGAAATGTATTAAACATGTCCTTTTTAAGGTTCGTTATCGGGATAAAATGTCCTTAATATGACATTATTTTGTTCATGAAAATGCTTCCTTTTGGTTTTAAAAGTAACTGCCGAGCGATAACCTTTTTTTAAATATGTAAGGGGGAAACGATTAGGCAATAACTTTTAAACCAATAATTCAGTTATTTGCCACCTCGATAAATTCTACATTTCAAATATGACTGTAATGTTTTAGTTGCAAAATTGCAATCAAAATAATACATATTCTGATTCATGAAAAATAATCTGTTAATTGTCTCTGTGCTAAAACAAAAGATTTATTTTGTTCTCTAAACCTTTTAGTTATCAATTTGCTTGTTTGTTTGTGTCACCAGGACTGGCAGCAAGCTAGGAATCTCTCCTCTGATGCTAGCAGCTATGAATGGTCACGTACCTGCAGTGAAGCTATTGCTTGATATGGGCTCCGACATCAACGCTCAGATTGAGACCAACAGAAACACAGCTCTGACCCTGGCCTGCTTCCAGGGGCGGGCTGAGGTTGTAAGTCTGCTGCTGGATCGCAAAGCCAACGTTGAGCATCGGGCTAAGGTGAGGAGTCAGGAGTCCAAACCTATTTAATCACTCAGTCAAAAACAGTGTTACACTGGTGGAGTCCAGATTGCCTCTGGTGAACTTACTTAGTAACCTTTTCACCTTTTGCAGACTGGACTCACTCCTCTGATGGAGGCAGCTTCAGGAGGTTATGCAGAAGTGGGCCGAGTGCTGCTGGACAAAGGCGCAGACGTCAACGCTCCCCCTGTTCCCTCATCCCGAGACACTGCCCTCACCATTGCTGCAGACAAGGGCCACTACAAGTTCTGTGAGCTGCTTATCAACAGGTGAGGAAACAAGTGTTTCTGTACAGAACTGTGGTCTCCTTAAATAATGAGATAATCCTCAGTGACTTCATATCTTTGGTAAATTAGCTGTAATTGTTGAACAGACGGTCATCACTGCTGCTTAGTAGTTTGATGCTTTGTTGGACATTCAGCTTAAACAGACCATCACTATCACAGAGTAAGGATCCTTATTATTTTTCAAGGGCTGATTTTGCTTTTCTAACATCACGGTTTACACCTTCAGCCTGTGGTCAATAAACACTCCCATCTTTTAGCTGTGATGCCCTTGTCTGTCTCCTAAATGTTGAACTTCTTCCTGTCTTTGCAGGGGTGCCCATATCGATGTACGAAACAAGAAAGGGAACACTCCTCTCTGGCTTGCGGCTAATGGTGGCCATTTCGACGTGGTCCAGCTCTTGGTGCATGCTAGTGCTGATGTGGACGCAGCCGATAATCGCAAGATCACCCCACTCATGGCTGCTTTTCGCAAGGTGCGGAGTTTTCCAAAATTGTAAGTGTGTCATGCTACACTGTGGCAAGCCTCTGGTTACTAACAGTTTTGTGTACCATTTTAGGGTCATGTGAAGGTGGTGCAGTATCTTGTTAAGGAAGTCAACCAATTCCCATCAGACATTGAGTGCATGAGATATATTGCTACCATCGCTGACAAGGTAGGTGTTGATATTCTTTTACTTACTCTGCTAGATCTTTTTTTCTGTGCTGATAGTTTTTTAGCAGAGCTCTTACTCCAGTTATTGTTTTGCTGTTGTTGCAGGAGCTATTGAAGAAGTGCCACCAGTGCATGGAGACCATCGTCAAAGCCAAAGACCAGCAGGCAGCCGAGGCTAACAAGAACGCTAGCATACTTCTGAAGGAGCTAGACTTGGAGAAGGTAATATCAGACCCAATCGCTGTGTGTTAAATACACTTGTTACAACATGGAAGTATTTTGACATTTCTGTCTTGTGTTTAACAGTCTCGAGAGGAGAGCAAGAAGCAGGCTCTGGCTGCTAAACGTGAGAAGCGCAAGGAGAAACGCAAGAAGAAGAAGGAGGAGCAGAAGAGAAAGCAGGAAGAAGAAGAGGGACAAAAAACCAAGGAGGACCCCTCTGACATGCTTGAGCAGAAGGAGGATTCAGCAGATGGTTCTTATTTTTTTAATAACTTTTGCTTTAATTTATGAGACCACTGAGTGCTAGTTTTCTTATAATTACAGATCCATAGTATTAGAATTGAGAGTTTGTTGAACACTCTTTTTATACATTTTTATCAATGTTCCCCTCAGAATCAGAGGTTCCTATTGAGCCACCCAGTGCAACCACAACCACCACCATCGGTATATCTGCCACCTCCACAACTTTCACTACAGCTTTTGGTAAAAAGCGAGCAGGTGTGGCCACTACCCCGAGCACCAATCGCAAGAACAAAAAGAATAAGACCAAGGACTCGCCCAATGAACCCATCATATTACAGGATCCGCAGGTGAGTGCTACTGATTTTGTCATTGTTTTGTCACAATGGGCTATGTCATTTATATTAGCCTCTATGTAATTTATATTAGCTGTTATAAAATGACCTGTGTGTGTGTGTGTCCCATCTAGGTTGCACTAGCGCAGCACAAGGCTGACAAGAACAAGATCCACGGTGAGCCACGGGGTGGAGGTGGGGGAGTGACAGGTGGCAACAGCGATTCTGACCCCTTGGATAGCACCGACTGTGCCAGTGAGAGCAGCAGCAGCGGGGGCAAGAGTCAGGAGCTCAACTACCTCCCTGACCTCACCTCTTCCGCCTCCTCCTCTTCTTCATCCTCCTCCTCCTGCTCAGCCCCCTCCTCAGGAGCAGCCCAGTCCCTTTTACGCGGCCCAGAGAAGAGACACTGTCCTCAGCCGCAAACTGACGGCAAAGTAGACAACAAGGTCACAGTCTCCATCTCCAAACCAATGCAAAAGTGAGTCCCTGCTGGAGCAGAGCACATTTCACATCAAAATGACATACTGTTTCTGTGGGTAGCTGCTCAGCTGGGGGGGAGGGGGGGGATTGTTCTCACTAATTTTTGATTGTCCACCAACATGACCTATGATAGTATATATTTATTACTGTGATCTAAGTTGAACTTCCCTGGTTTTGTCGCAGAGCTTCGGACACAAGCGACTCCACCTCAAACTCCTTGCCCTCTCCATTTAAGTCCATGGCTCTGCCTGTCACCTCACCCAACAGTAAACTCAGTCTCACAAGCCCCAAGAGAGGCCAGAAGAGAGAAGAAGGTTGGAAGGAGGTGGTCAGAAGGTCAGTGGTTGATTTAACTGTTTCAAATTTGTCCACTTTGGATTGACATGACAAGTTTTATCTAATTTTCCTGCACTTCTAATGGAGAGATTGTTCTTAAAACTCAAATATCAAAAAGCAAAATTTCTTGTTCAGTTGGCATCAGTGGACATAAACTACAATCAGTTGTCTTACCATTCGACATATTTGTAAAATACTTTGACTGCTTCTTTTGAAGATCAAAGAAGCTGTCGGTGCCGGCCTCTGTCGTGTCTCGGATCATGGGCCGAGGAGGCTGCAACATCACAGCCATCCAGGATGTGACAGGAGCTCACATTGACGTTGACAAACAGAAGGACAAGAATGGGGAGAGGATGATCACCATCAGGTAAAAATAAAGGCCCTCTAGTGGACTGTTAACCCCATTGCACTGGGGTAGAACAGCTGGTTGGATGCATTAAGCATGTAAGCCCCTTATGGATGATGTCAGTCATTCCAGTGTCACAGGGTTTGGTGCAAGTTAAATTCAGGGGAGTTTATCCTCTTCACTTATTTTGACAATGAATGTATAAATATCATACACTAGGACTGCATTCAAGAAGATCTGAAGCTTTGAAATGTTCCTTGGAGGTCTTGTGAAACAAACAGTCACTAGTGCAGCCAATCAAAATAAAAACCTTAATCCCTGAGTACTAGAAAATGTGACATACTTTTGCTACATTACTAATTTTATTTTTTCACTTATTATTCATTGTCACGAAAGATTTAGTCTTAACAAAGTGTGCTCTATTGTTTCAGAGGAGGCACAGAGTCTACAAGGTATGCAGTGCAGCTGATAAATGCTCTCATCCAGGACCCGGCCAAAGAGCTTGAAGATCTGATCCCAAGGAATCACATCAGAGCCCCAGGCTCCAAAACGACCTCAGCCTCCTTCCCCAGTACCACTGGGGTCACCAGTGGTTCAGCAACTGGGCCAAAGGCCTTGAGTTCGTTGGTCGCCTCCACAGGGGTCTCATTCCAGCCGTCTTCATCCTCATCTTCATCTATCTCTCAGGCCGGGGGAAAGATTGGGAAGGGGCTGTCATCAAACGTCAGACAGCCTTTCCCTGTGTCACTGCCCCTTGCTTATGCACACCCACAGCTGGCTCTTCTTGCTGCTCAGACCATGCATCAGATCAGACACCCTCGTCTGCCCATGGCACAGTTTGGAGGCACGTTCTCGCCCGCTGCCAGCACCTGGGGACCCTTCCCTGTGCGCCCTGTGAGTCCTGGCAGTGCTAATAGCTCCCCCAAACACAACGGAGGCACCAACAGCACGCTTGGCCAGGCCAGACCCAACTCCAACCACAGTGAGCACAGCAACACAGCCAGCTCAGGAGCACAGGTTACCACCATCAACACGACCACCACTAGTGCTCCTAACACATCTACAGCTGCATCCTCGCCTCATACTCCCAACCCCACCCCATACAACCCTCAGCCCAGCATCCCCACCCCTTCCTCCGTCAGGAAACAGCTCTTTGCACCTGACCCCAAGCCTGGTGGTGCTACCCCTGTGTCAGCTATTGCTACTTCTACCAGCGGCAGCAATGCAGTACGAGGCACAGGTTCTCCTGCACATCACAGCTCCACTACAACCACGGCAAACGCCCCTCAGCAGTCGGTTGGACCTATCTCCCAGACCCTCATCCAGTCTTCTAAAACGGAGCCCAGTAACGTCGCCCTCCCTGGAAAAGACAAGTCCTCTCTGTCTGTAGAGGCCCAGCCTATATCTGTCAGCGAGAGCATCAACTCTGTTGGCTTCACTGCTCCCGCCATGGCTTTACCCACCAAGCCAGAGCCTCGCCAGCAGTTACCGCCCCCTCCCTCCAGTGTCCCATCGTCAGATCCCCCACCAGCCCTCATCAACCCCCAGCACAGCTCCCACCTCACCTCAGGCCCTCCTCCTCAGTCCCTTTCACACAATGTTGCACATCCCAACAACACTGTTCCTCACTTCTCAGCCCCCGCGCCCAGAGTCTCCCATCGTATGCAGCCACCAGGGCCTTATTATTCCCATCCTGAGCAGCAGCAGCAGCAACAACAGCAGCAGCAGCAACAGGCACAACAGCAGCAACAACAACAATCTGTGTTTGTGCCCTTCAACGCTCAGCAAGAACCCCCAAAACAGACCCAAAACCAGACCTCCCAGCCTACAAGTTTGCCTCCACAAGCCCAGAACCAATCTCAAGGCCCCCACCAGGTCTCTGGTAACATGGGGATGATGAACGGCTCCCAGATGCAGCATGTGGCAAATGCAGGCAAGCCTCAGCAAATACCACCAAACTTTGGACATGCAGGCCTTTTCAACTTCAGCAGCATCTTTGATAACAACAGCCAGGTGAGTTTAATTCAACTTCAGCCAGTTTCTTTTTTCATTTTCTTGACTTAAAATTGCAAATAATCAAATTTAATGCTTATATATTTGCTCTTATATCAAATCAGTCATGAATCCAATAATTTACATTTAATTCATTTTGGCTGTTTAGCAGGTTGGAAACAACCAGGTCTGGGGTGCCTGCCATCTGCCTGCTCGATCACCTCCTGAGCAGCCATACTCAGCCCCTCAAGCCTACATGAGCATGGGCCAGATGGAGAATATGATGCCCCCACCTCCTCCAGACAGCTCCAAAGCCCCTGGCTACCGCCCAGCCTCACAGAGGATGGTCAACAGTCCTATCGGTATGACTGTGTTTGATTCACTTTACACATAATCATTTTGTTTGTGTATATTACCCGGTTCATCCTTTTTGAGAACTTGTTTTATGAGGAACGTAACTAATGTAACAGCATTGAAATAGGGTTAGTGACAGTATAAAAAGTTAAACATTATACAAGTAAAAAGAATCATCACAGTTGAACAAGTTTCTTCTCACATTAGGTCTGTATTTGAGGTGCAGTTTTCTTATGTGCACAAAAGTAATATCTATCTCTAACCGTCTGCACCCACAGCTTTGACCAGCTATGCCACCAGCATCTCTGGCAGCCCTGTGTATCTGCATGGTCATACAGCAGTTGGCGCACCATCATTCAGCAGACAGCACTTTTCCCCTCACCCATGGAGTGCATCCACATCAGGTATGAGGCTCATGCTGATTCAAGAAAAAGCGGTTTTATACTGTTTAAGAAACGGACTGAAATTCATACTGATGCCTTTTTTATGACCTACACAAGCAAAGCAGTCAATGTGCATAAAGGTTGACTATTTCTCTATAGTACATTTTGATGCCTCGGGTTGCTGCCACAGAGTAGGTGAAGTAGTCAGAAGAAGGAAGGCGACGCACGAAATAGCATCTCGGTGGCTGATATATTCTCAGTTAAATAAAAGCAGGATGAGATTTTTCTTGGGAAAACGATTTATGCATGCTCGGGACAAGATCAGCATAGAGACGAGAAGCAGCACTCTGTCCACAGGGGGCCCGCAAAACAACACAAACCGAAAGTTTCCCACGGGAGCTTCCACTGAGTGTTCTTTTTTGCTGCACTGTTTTCTTTAATAAAGTACATTTTTGTTAATGTTTCAGTAACATAAGGAAATGGCCAAATACCTTTTTTTTAATTTTGTTCATTTTTTTTACTACCAGATATATCATCTGTCGTTAACTATTTCCTCCTGTACCGTCCCTTCATCTCCAGGTGAATCTCCTGTCCCTCCTCCCTCTACGGTGTCAACCTCTGCCCTCTCCACCTCAGCTGTGGCTCCTCCTCCCCAGCAGAAGCCTGGAAACTCCTCGCAACAGGACCGTAAAGTCCCTCCACCCATCGGCACGGAGCGGCTGGCCAGGATCAGGCAGACTGGTTCTGTTAACCCACCTCTGCTAACCACCAGCTACACAGCATCTGTTGGACAAGGAGGCATCTGGTCCTTTGGGGTCGGCAGTGCTTCAGGTAAGAGTAACTGATGTTTAGCTGTCCTGCTTCAGTTTATTAAAATTAAAATCATCTCGAATGTTTCAATCTCAGTTCCAATGCCCTAATACCTGATATCCATTAATACTAATGCTAACCCCCAGCGTGTCTTGGTACAGAGGCTATGTCCGGTTGGTCCCAGCCTCTGATAAGCAGCCACATGATGCACCCTCAGCTGCAGGCAGAGCAGTCTGCTTTCTCTCAGCACCAGCCCATGGAGCAGGACGACACAGGCATCTCAAACCCAGCTAACAACTACCACCAGCCGCAGCATCTGCCCAACAGTTACATGGACTTCCCAAAGGTAACACAAAGCCTTCGCTCTGTGGAAAACAAAAACACTGTACACACACATGTACACGTGTGCAACAGTTTTGTAGATAATATAACAAAGAGTAAGGTCTTTTTCCTGCTTCTTTGTCTTCAGATTACTTTTGTTATGAATTAGCGCTATACAAATAAAAATGTATTAAGTTACCTATTTATATCCTTAAAGGGAATGCCCATGTCGATGTATGGAGGAACCATGCTGCCCCCTCATCCTCCCATGGCAGAGGGGCCGGGGGGACCGATGTACAACGGTTTGCACGCTGGTGACCCCGCATGGAGCCCCATCATCAAAGTGGTCCCAAACAATGCAGATAATTCTGACCCACAACAGCAGGTAAGGCCAGAGTCAAATCCAGTCATATGCTTAATGTTTAAAATGTCAGTCTTTCATTTCTGAAACTTCATTAATGTCATGTTTTTTTACTACATTGGTTCAGACATACAACTCTTATTTTGTCCTCTGTTTTTTTTTTAGGTGTGGCCTGGTACCTGGGCGCCTCATGTGGGCAATGTGCACCTGAACCACGTCAACTAGAAAGCGTCCACAGCAATCAAACCCACACAGCATGACCCACAGCGCAAACATGAAATACCAACTGACGAACATGACCGAATAAGACAAACAAAAAAAAGAAAAGAAAAATGTACAACATGTTAACCTAAGTAGTGACCTGAGAGTGCAGAGCAGAAGTTGAAGAATTGGAAGTTGTCTTGACGCCATTCTTTGATGTGCCTATGTCAAACAAGGAAAGAGGAATTTGGGGGAGAGCTGTTATCAGTGTCCCGATGATGCAAACAAACATGCGCGATCACCTGTTTAACAGGATCCATTCTCTGCGTAGTTTAGCGATTTTGACTTAAACCCACATACACCGTTCTTGGGCTGCAGGGGGCTCAACATGAAGTAGCTATTTAAACTTGGCCCAGAACTAGATGATGATTACCTAAAAAGAAAGAGAAATCAGAACCTTTTAGAGTGGTAAATACATGTATAATTGTTTACATACTAAAAAGGGTTAAAATGAGAGTAAATTTCATGTCGTATAGTGGCTCTACTTTATGTAGCCTGTATTAATGTGAAATATTTACCTTAATATTCAATAAAAAGATTGAAAAGTATGTGTCTGTCATTTTATGAATCATACCTTATTTTCATTTTTTGAGTTCAACATTAAAAATGATTAAATCTATGGAAGCTTTTGTTTTCACCTTGTTCTTTGTCCTCATGTTCTGTTGGTGTCTGTCCTTCACAGCTGCAGTTTGTGTGCAGTCAAAAATTTTTCTTAATGGTTGCAAATTTCCATGCAGAAAACTATTTTTTCTTTAACTATAAATGATATAGTGGATTTGTTTTACTGTATATCTATATGAAACAAACATTTCTTATTCGGCAGTGAAACCATACTCTTTAATTGTCCAAACAACATCACAGCTAACCACTGTAACCACTCAGTTTTTAACTTTGGCATCACGTAATGCATTTAAGTGGCAAACATTGATTTTCACCAGTAATACTACCTTTAAACTCTCTGATCTGCAAACATGTAATGTTCAGAGAACATTTAGTCCATAAACAGATTGCTTTGCCTTATTGGTAAATGTCAGGAAGTACTTATTTCAATACAATGACCCTGAATGGCCTGGTTTATTGTCCAAAATGAACTATTCTAACATAAATACCATTTCCCCATACGAGTTATTACCATAGACTGTAAATATTTAGCGGCAACATCCGGCCTTAAAAATTTAAGCCAATGCGGAAGTGCAAATTCCTGCAGTTCGTTGAGTGTCCGCTTGAGGCAGGCTCCAGTAACACCGGAAGTAAAATACACTTTTTTTTTTTTTTTTCTCGTTTTAAGAAGTTAATTTATTTATTTGAGGCAGAAAAATAACTTTCTCATTCAAACGAGTTTTGTTCAGGCAGTGTACTCTGTGAGGCGCTTCAACTGTCAGTGTTTTTTTTTTGTACTTTACATTTTTTGAAAATGTAAAAAATATAAACATATAAAATATGGCAGCATTCAATTCAATTCAATTCAATTCAAAAACTTTATTTGTCCCCGGGGGGCAATTCAAAGGCACACAGAGCTGTGAATTAACAACAGTGCAAGTAAACAAATCATTTTAACCTAAATATAAAGTGTCAATTTAAATACAACTTAAAGCGTAAACTTAACTTAAAAATACTAAATATAAAAGAGTAGATATAAGTGGACAGTGATCGGACTAACAGATGTAAACAGATGTAACCATAACTATGTGCAGTAGTGACCAGATGTAAACAGAACTATATGCAGTAAGAGAAATAAATATATATATATACAGGAGGGAGTAGGAGTAGGAGTTGAGGAGCTGGACAGCCCTGGGAACGAAGGTTGCTCTTCTCCTCTGTGTCCAGCAGCAGGGACAGCGAAGCCGGCGTCCTGAGGGGAGATTAACATCTTAAATTCTATACAGAAGTGACGATGACTTAAAGTGCAATTAATGAGGTATGGACTGAATATAATCGAGCCATGCATTTTACTTTGCTTTACATTCTTTTAGTTTGTTTTCTGCATTCAAACGATTTATTTAGTTTTTGGTCTTTTGTAAGGTGAATTCCCAGGTATTTGATTACTGACCTGATAGGAATATTATTAATATCTTTAAGTTGTGTGTCATGTTGCAAATATTTCACATTTTCTCAAATTTAAGTTAAGTTAACCCAGAAGCAATGGATAATTTATTTTGTTCAATAGTTAGTGGAATTTGGTTTCTATATTTTAGAAAAATTATAGTATCATCCTCTTATTATTAGCAGACTGGAATAAAATGTCCAATATTTGTTTGAATGATTTCTTCTGTTTCCTGCTCTGTTATAAAGAGAGGTGATACTGTGACCAGTCAGTGGAGCAGCTGAGATATCAGAACTGATTTCATAACATAGTAAGTGGCTTGAAATCAGCAAATGGTCAATTCTAGATTTTGGTTTATAATTTGGGCTGAACCACGAGTATTTAATCGTTCCTGGGTAAAAGTGACTCCATTCATCAATTCGATTATGTTCATTGCAAAAGTTAGTAAATATGGTGTTAGGGATATCTTGTTGAGTGTCTAGGAGGATATTTATAAAATAATTAATCCTGATCCCCTCCTAATATAACATAATCAGTTGAGTGGGATTATTCTCTGCCCTTGCATTAACAGAAACGAGAGATGTTTTTTTTTATTTTTATTTTTTTAGCTGAAGCATAGAAAAATAATCAAAACAGAGAAAAACATTAAATAGAATAATCTGAATTGTAAAGAACACAAGTAGATGTAACATCTAACAGATATCGAGGTTTTATAGACGCAGAACCTTGAACATATTAACTTCCTTGTTAAAATAAAAAAACCTCACTTTGTTAGGATATAGACTACTGTAATATCCCAGGTTTATGGAATGAATCTCTGACCATTAATGAAGGCATGTGGGCCTCGGAACCCAGCCTGAATATGTGTATGAAATACAGCAGTGTAGGATGAGCCTCCGGAGCCCCTGCAGTAACAGATGGCTCCGGCCATTAATAATTATAATGTTATTATTATCCATTACTGAAGATTGTGATATCACAGTGGTCTTTAATTCATGTGGATCCATGCTAATTTACAAAGATATCCACACAGATAAACATTTACCGTGATACATTTTTCAAACTACGACTTGGTTAGGTTAGCAGACGAAGAAGCTCCTGACGCTCCCTTACTTTTACTCTTAAAATAATCAGGACTTTTATTGTGAAGTCGGTGGTCAAAGTGCATCCGGAAGTGTAGCTTTCCGTCTGCTTTGCAGTCCAGGGCAAGCATGGCGGCTGCAGCGACAACAGTGATCCCCGAGCAAACACCTAAACCATCACCTTCAGGACCTGTGCCATTTGACTTCTCTCAGCCGCCGGTCATTGAGGGCTTCAACCCTCTACCGAGAGTTAAAGATGAGACCTTTAAAGAGAAATTCATGAGGAAATCAAAGGACAATCCGTTCGTCCCGATAGGTGAGTTACACAAGCAGGGCATTTCTGCAGGGTGAAGTATGAGGGCAGGAACGACACAGTCTGTTATGTATGTTACTCTGCTGTGGTCTTATCAGGTCATCTTTCTCTGCATTAGTATTTTAAAGCTCCACCATGTTCAAATGAAGCTCAGTGGATTTGTAGATTAGATGTCAGATAACGACAAAAACAGAGTTTGTCACTGTTATACCCAATGTCATGACTGAATTAGTCTTGTTAATGGACGAGTTCCTTATACTTTCTGGTACTGGGACTCACCAAATCACAAACTCTTACACCCCCTATGTAACCTATATATGTTTTCTTCTTTTCTTTTCTTCATCCTATAAATATGTATACTGTCATGTGATGTTTAGCAGCGTGTGTACTATGATGACACTGTCTTTCTTGTCTTGTGTGAATTGATTGTCATGTGTTATAAAATAGCAATAAAAGAAAAAGTTTAAAAAGTGTAAAGTCAGGCAGAGGTAAAAACATTAGAATAAAGAGCAGAGGGTTTTAGGAGCAAGCTCTTTTTCAAGGAGTCCACAGTCTGTGGGGCCCTCAGGTGGTCAGGGAGAGCAACTCCATAGTCGTGGGGCAGCAGAAGAAATTACTTACATTAACAATGCTGTCCCTCAATAACTTTTGATTGTGTGTTTTTAAATAGACAAATTGTCTAGTTTTTCCATTTTTTTTTTTTAAAACTCACTGCTTCGGTAAAGGATGACAGAATTGTCTCTTCGTGATAAGGTTGAATTCATCCTTTTTTTTAAGACTTCCCATTTGTACTGGTGTCTCTTAATTTATTGCGATCCCAATAGCAAACAAGTATTTGATGTAATGTACCAAAGAACTATAATTCATGTATCAAAGAGCAAAAAAAATATGCCTACACTTTTAGACCTTCACCTCCCTGGTTTATGACAGAAAAAAAGAACCTGGTCAACACCTGTACCTTGTTTTTTGTCAACAATGGACCTGCATTGTTTGTTTAGATTGTGTTTCTATTTTGTGATTCTCTTTGTTGTCCAGGTTGTTTGGGAACAGCGGGGATGCTGATTTATGGTCTTCGTGCCTTCCACCAAGGGAAAACCAGACAGTCCCAGCTGCTGATGAGGGGGCGCATCTTTGCTCAGGGCTTCACAGTAGTCGCCATCATTTTTGGAGTCTTTACCACAGCTCTGAAATCTAAGTAATGGACACTGACCAATCCCTAATCACGCTGGATTGAAAATGGAATCACACCAGTCACCAGATCCAACCTGGACTTGATCTGTTCCAACAATCTGAAAGAACTGAGCAATGTATTTTGTTTTCAGTGTGGTTCAGATACATATGTCAGGGCCAACACTATTTATTGTTGTTTGAATGGTCATGGTGGTCAAATATATTGCAACAGAGTATAATTTGTTTCTTGCCTCAAAAAGCAAGCAAGCTTGATTCAGTTGTGCTCACAGAGTACGGAGAAGAATGCCAATAAATATTTAGTGTACCTCACTTGTTCTTCAGAAGGCTTGTGTTTCAGATGCTCCAATGTATTGTCACTAACATCTACATTACGCCTGAATGTGTCTTCTGGTTTATAAATCTTAACACAAACTTAAAAGTTGAAACCTGGTGTCTTCTGTGTGTGAGGAAAAGAACGACACTCACGACTGTATTCAGGTGACATCTACTCCTTGCACAACCTTTATTCGACACTTTTATTTAAAAAAAACAGTGGGGAAATTCAATGTGAAAACAGTTTCTATATTAATGGCCTGGGTGAGTAGATCTAAATGCGAGGAGGGTTTTCTCTGAAGTCCACCTTAACACTCAATAGACCATCAATTAAAGATGAAGTCTGACCTAGGAGTGCACAAAATGTTGTATTTTTTGGAAAGGACAGCACTTTGTGAAATCATCTTATCCATGCAAAGGCATTTCAGTGGCCAGCTAAGTGTGATTAAGTGATAGACAACAAAAACAAATGTAGTGCTGGAAGATTGTTCCTGCTTCTCAGATATGCCATATCGTTAGTGTTTTTAACATTTGAATGCTATATGGGGGGGTTGTCTGCCAATTTCTGAGTAGCACACTTTTCCTCTAATGTATGCCTGAGTGCAT